ATGCTTTCTGGAAGTATTCCTGAGCCCATTCTGTTATTTCCTTGACAGTGGCATTCCTGTTTGAGGTGCAGTGATGTTTAAGGGCCCGGGATCACGAGCATCCAGTAGAGTTTTACGGCCTTGACCCTTACGCACAGCGATTGTTCCAGATTCTCTGAATCTTTTGATGATGTTATGCACGGTTGATGAGGATAACTTAGAAGTCTTTGCTATTTTACGCTGGGTAACACCATTCTGGTATTGCTGCACTATCTTTCTGCCAACAATGGTGGAATTGGTGATCCTCTTACCATCTTGGTTTCTGAGAGACACTGACACTCTGAGAAGCTCTTTTTATACCCAAACATGTTGTCAATTGACCTAATTAGTGTTAATTGGTCTTCCAGCTGTTCGTTATATGCACAATTTCCTTTTTCCAGCCACTTATTGCTACTTGTCCCAACTTTTTTGAGATTTGTTGACACAGTGAAATTTTGAATCAACATATTTTTCCTTTAAAATGTTACATTTACTCAGATTAAACTTTTGATCTGTCATCTATGTTATATTACGAATAAAATATTGACATTTGCCATCTCCACATCATTGCATTCAGTTTTTATTCACAGTTTGTTTAGTGTCCCAACTTTTTTGGAATCCGGTTTGTATAAACCAAGCTTTCATGACACTCTGTTTATGCATGTCTCTGCACCACTTGCTCTTGCTGAGATCGGACGCTTTTCCCCTCCCTCTCTGCTTTGCTTTGCTGCTCTGTCTGTCTGTGAAACTGCTTCTGAGCCTCTCTTGCATATCTTCCGAACCATAATTATAGACTTGTTTTGGTCAGTTGGTCCCTCAACACAATTGATATTTCTTCGAAGAGAAGACGGGCTTTAGACAAGCCGATTTGCCCTGTTGGCACGCACACAGCTGGATATCTCATGGACTTGGAAGACTTGATGATGTGTCTATCTCTGCTGCCATTTGTGGATTTTAAGGACGCATATTTAATTGGATTTACGATAACTGGTTCCTGCTTTTTGGATTCGTCTGGTTGCTGGTTTTATCAACAATCAAGGAAGTCATCGGCAGCAAATTTGGACCCTATCACGCTGCTTGCCTTTATGATGGCTTGGTTTGTGCCTCAAGTACCCAGACTCAAATGCTTTGGGCAGAATGGATCAGATTTCGGGGATTTTACTCAGTCACGTTTCATCGGTGTGGCCATGTAATTTGGACATTTCGGAACTGAGTGGACCATCACAGACTCAAGGTAGATGTCGTTAAGTTCTGCCTGTCCCCAAAACATCTGTGTGTTTATCTGAATTTGGCTCCCTTGGCTGGCCTTGAAGGCCACCTTATCTGAATTTGCCTGGATAACATGTGATTGGATGCTCACCACCCCCTCCCTGAGGAATTTCCAACTGATAACCAGATGAATAAACACTGTGTCATCATTTCAGGACTCTTGGATTCTCATAGACGTTGGCCATTCCGAGACATACCTCGAGAATGTTTACGGATCTCATTGGAAGACACTGGCTGATTATCCCATCCTTATCAGAACTCTTACAGTGACCTCGAGAGCATCTATGGACATCCTCACCGCTCTCATCGTCTCCC